GGTTTGAATTTACAGCCGGGGCGCCTGGAGCCGCCTCCGTGCCTTCTCCTTTCTCCCTCCACCTGCGCCATGAAACCCCTGCGAGGTGAACAAAGCCCGGTTTTCCCCATTTAACAGACTTTGTGTCGAATTGGGCCGGCGCTGGGCCGGCGGCGGGGCCACACGTGCTCCTGCGGCAGCCCGGCCCGGCCCGGGGGCTGAGCCTTGGCGGGGGCCGCGGCGCCTCCCTCCGTGCTCGGGGAGCTTTGAAACAGCGAAACCAGGACTTGCGTCGCCCTTTTCTCGCTTTAAATCTAATAATATTTTTTTGTTGTTGACGATCTTTTATTGTTTCAAACGGTGGTCCGCAAGCTCCCGTTACAAAGCAGGGCCCGTTGGAGGTGGGATGGGGATGCGATGTGTGCCACGCCGTCTCTGCCCCTTACGTTTTCTTCTCTATTTTCTGCCAAATGTGTTTAAACTGGTTGTGCTAGTTTTCTAGCCGCGCCAAATGTGGCATTGATGCCAGTCATTTGCTACTGCAGTCTTACAGTTGAAGTGAACTGACTCTGCTGATTAAAAAAAAAAAAAGTATAATTTAGGCTCTTGGAAGCATTATTATGTTTGTGCATAATCAGTGATTCCTGATGGGCATTTTAAAAATCCTGCAATCTTGCTAGCAGCTTGCTTTTCTTAATCATTTAGTATGAAAGTTTACCTCTTTTCATGTAGATGTGTATATACAAACTATATGTATGTATATGGATACTCTCTTTTTCAACCATTTAACCTATACACTTGCTCTGAAGATGCAGACAGTCCAACTCTGGTGGACTTCGATCACTGCTATGCTCTCTACATTTTTGTAACAGTGTTATCAGTTTTTCTTCTAGCACATGTAGTCATAATCAATCATTGTTCTTCTCATGGATTTCTTACCAAAAATTCTTTTACTTCTTCATTTTCTTTATGTTAATAAAGTGTGTAGAAACTATCAGCAGGCATCTTGCAACTTTTTAATTGAGAAGTAGGCAGGAAACACAACTCTGTCTCAGGTGAGTTGTCAGCTTAAAAAAGATCTGTGAGAAACACAGCAATGCTCTCTGAGCAGCAATGCTGGTCTTGATATATTTTAAGGTAGGTAGAATAATTTTACTCTGTGCTTCCGTCTTTCTAAACAGTTTCTGTAACCCCTGTCTTGAGGTATTCCTTCCATTTCCTCTCTTTTTTTTATAATAGCAAAGATTTGTATCCAACTGCAGTGTTTAAAAGCAAACAAACAAAAAACCCCTGGGGAATTGTAAGAACTGCTATAACATTCTTTCAGCCCTTATTCTGTCTTCAGTAGTGGCCAGGAGTAGATGGCTAGAGAAGACTAGCAGAACAGAGCAACCATACATTAATGCATCCTCCAGAAATATCTTCACACAAACAGTTTGTTACTCCCTATTTTCTGGAGCCAAAGGTCGTGTTTTCGTATTTAAAATCCTTTAGTGGATTTCTCTTCCATAAAATTCTCACTTTGGCACTTGTAGACTTGCAGCAGCATCCACAATAGCCTGTGGCAGGGAGGTCCGCAACATTAACAGTAGGTCGTGTAGAGAACGTTCTTCTGCTCTGAATTTCCAGCTGATATCCCATGTGGTACATACCAGTTTTTGTGCTGGAATAGACAGTGAGTGGTTGACTTCTGTGCTCTCTCTGCGTCTCATGATCTTCCAGACATCTGTCGTATCCAGGCTGAAAAGTCATGGCCTGCTTTGTTGCTTCTCAGTAGCTAAGAAGCAATGCTGTAGCTTTGTTATTTCTTGTCACCCTTTTTTGAAACTTTCCTAGTTCTACCTGTCCCTTTGAAGCTTGGGGGATCAGAGGCAATACCGTTCAATATGCAGGCTGAGTGGGGCTTTCTTCATCCTTTCTAGTACTTCCTGATGTCAGTTGGTGGGGAGAGGGACCCACTGCTTCTGAGGATTTATACCTCTTCTTTTCGTCAAAACTGTATTTTAAAATCCCGAGGTGGTAGTCCTGACTGGTGGTGCTTAGCTCAAAGTCCATCCATTCATATGTGAAATCAAAATTAGTTTTTTCCCCCAAGTCCACCACTTGACTATTTTTTGTCATTTTATTGCCCAGTCACTCAGCCTCTTAAGTACTTTTGAAATTCTTCAGTAGGCCCATCTCTGCTCTACCCCAGAGAAGTCATTCACTTGCAAATGCTGATGGCACCAGCACTTAACCCTCATCATGGCCCCTGATGATAGCAAGTTCCTTCCTTACTCCCCTCCTTTTTTCAGATAAAGAGTTCTGAACTTCTGTTTTCAAATTTTCTTAGCCGCTAGTATATTGTTCTGAGTATTTGGACCTCCTCCTTGCCTGCTTTGTCTTGCTAGCACTGCATTTACATGTTATTTTGCCAGAAAATAACATGTAAATATTATTTTGTTAACTTTAAACATCTGATGATACAGATGGGCAAGTAGTTTCATCTGTCCAGGATGGCATTGTTTCACAGTGATCTCCAAGGATGAGCGATAATTAATCTCTTTATTCTTCAACATACTGTTGTGGGTTTTTTTTCTCCTTCACACTTGTAGTCATTTTTGCCTGTTAGAAGCACTAAATTATTGGAAACGAATGTATTTGTATATAATTCAGTTATATCAACAACACTTTTACTGTTGTTTTTTGTTTGTTTGATTTTGTTAAGATGGTGTGGTTGTCTCTGGAAAAGTGAAAAGGAACAACCTGGATGTTAAAGTTACTGAGTCAGAATTGGAAACTGAAGAAAAAGGAACGGAGGAAGAATCCACAAGGGAATCTGATAGCAACATTTTGGATGTATCATCTGATTATCCAAGAGGTTTGCTAATAAACTGTAAGAATATTTGTGTTGCGTGCTGGCAGAAACAAGGAGAAAAGGTAGAAATAGTGGGGAGGAAAGGTAAAGGGAATGTGTGAAATATCATTTTCTATACGTCCGATAGGTATGGATACTTTTTCCCATGCATCTGAATAAAATATTTTCCTAAGGCATTGGAAATCTCTTTCAAATGAGAGGCTGTTTTCCCCTTACTAACAGTTCTAGAAATCACTGCAGAAATTTGCACATACATAGTGACAAGTCAAGGTTAGATGAGGTATGATCTACATCAGGCTCTGATGCTAAAAGCACCACAGAGAGCAGAGAAAATCTATTGTATTTAAGTGCAGAAATTAAAAGCTAGAAATTGCTTTTAACCCTAGCTTTAATACTCACCTCTGTATCTTGAGTACATTGATAAATTGCTATCTTTGTTTCACGTAAGAAAACCTGAAGACTAATCTTGTAAAAACATCATAAAGGTTTAAAA